AAGAAACAAAAGAAAAAGAAAGAATAAGAAATAGAAGACAAGAATAAGAAACAAAAAAACAAGAATAAGAAATAGAAGACAAGAATGAGAAAACAGAAGACAAGAATAGAAAAAAAAGACAAGAATGAGAAGACAAAATGTAGAAAATAAAAAAGAATGGAAAAAGAAGACAAGAATGGGGGAAATAGAAGACAAGAATGAAAATAGAAGACAAGAATAAGAAATAGAAGACAAGAATGGGAAATAGAAGACAAGAATGGGAAATTGAAGACAAGAATGAGAAATAGAAGACAAGAATAAGAAAAAAAGACAAGAATGAGAAAAATAAAGAAACAAAGACAAGAATAAGAAAGAATAAGAAAAGAAGACAAGAATGAGAAAAAGAAGACAAGAATAAGAAAAAAGACAAGAATAAGAAGAAGACAAGAATGAGAAACAAAAGACAAGAATAAGAAAACAGCAAGATGTAAGAATGAGAAATAAGAAAGAATAGAAGACAAGAATAAGAAATAGAAGACAAGAATGAGAAATAGAAGACAAGAATGAGAAATAGAAGACAAGAATAAGAAATAGAAGACAAGAATAAGAAACAAAAGACAAGAATAAGAAACAAAGAAAAGAAATAAGAATAAGAAATAGAAATAGAAGACAAGAATGGAAAATAAAAGAAGAATAAGAAAAGAAAAATAAGAAAGACAAGAATGAGAAATAGAAGACAAGAATGAAATAGAAGAAAGAATAAAAAAGATGACAAGAATAAGAAATAGAAGACAAGAATGGGAAATAGAAGACAAGAATGGGAAATAGAAGACAAGAATTGGAAATAGAAGACAAGAATTGGAAATAGAAGACAAGAATGGGAAATAGAAGACAAGAATGGGAAATAGAAGACAAGAATGGGAAATAGAAGACAAGAATGGGAAATTGAAGACAAGAATGGGAAATTGAAGACAAGAATGAGAAACAAAAGACAAGAATAAGAAATAGAAGACAAGAATGAGAAACAAAAGACAAGAATGAGAAACAAAAGACAAGAATAAGAAACAAAAGACAAGAATAAGAAATAGAAGACAAGAATAGAAAAAAAGAAGACAAGAATGAGAAATAGAAGACAAGAATGAGAAACAAAAAACAAGAATAAGAAATAGAAGACAAGAAATGAGAAATAGAAGACAAGAATGGGGTGCCAGAAGACAGAATAAGAAGACAAGAATGGGAAAAGAAGACAAGAAACAGAAAAGGACAAGAATAAGAAACAAAAGACAAGAATAAGAAAACAAAAGACAAGAATAAGAAACAGAAGACAAGAAGACAAAAGAATGAATAAGAAACAGAAGACAAGAATGAGAAATAGAAAACAAGAATAAGAAATAGAAGACAAGAATGGGAAATTGAAGACAAGAATGAGAAATTAAAGACAAGAATGGGAAATAGAAGACAAGAATGAGAAATAGAAGACAAGAATGGGAAATAGAAGACAAGAATAAGAAATTGAAGACAAGAATAAGAAACAAAAGACAAGAATGAGAAACAAAAGACAAGAATAAGAAACAAAAGACAAGAATGAGAAACAAAAGACAAGAATGAGAAATAGACAAGAATGAGTAACAAAAGACAAGAATAAGAAATAGAAGACAAGAATAAGAAATAGAAGACAAGAATAAGAAATAGAAGACAAGAATAAGAAATAGAAGACAAGAATGAGAAATAGAAGACAAGAATAAGAAATAGAAGACAAGAATAAGAAATAGAAGAAAAAGAATGGGGAAATAGGAGACAAGAATGGGAAGAAGACAAAAAAGAATGGGAAATAGAAGACAAGAATGGGAAATAGAAGACAAGAATGAGAAATTAGACAAGAATAAGAAACAAAAGACAAGAATGAGAAACAAAAAGACAAGAATAAATAGAAACAAAAAGACAAGAATGGAAGAGAAAAAAAGACAAGAATGAGAAATAGAAGAAAAGAATGAGAAACAAAAGAAAGAATAAGAAATAGAAGACAAGAATAAAGACAAGAATAAGAAGACAAGAATAAGAAATAAAAAGACAAGAATAAGAAATAGAAGACAAGAATAAGAAATAGAAGACAAGAATAAGAAATAGAAGACAAGAATAAGAAATAGAAGACAAGAATAAGAAATAGAAGACAAGAATAAGAAATAGAAGACAAGAATAAGAAATAGAAGACAAGAATGGGAAATAGAAGACAAGAATGGGAAATAGAAGACAAGAATGGGAAATAGAAGACAAGAATGGGAAATAGAAGACAAGAATGAGAAATTGAAGACAAGAATAAGAAACAAAAGACAAGAATGAGAAACAAAAGACAAGAATGAGAAACAAAAGACAAGAATGAGAAACAAAACAAGAACAAAAGAATAAGAAAAAAAGGACAAAAAAATAGAAAGAATAAGAAATAGAAGACAAGAATGAGAAATAGAAGACAAGAATGAGAAATAGAAGACAAGAATGGGAAATAGAAGACAAGAATGAGAAATAGAAGACAAGAATGGGAAATAGAAGACAAGAATAAGAAATAGAAGACAAGAATAAGAAATAGAAGAAAAGAATAAGAAATAGAAGAAAAGAATAAGAAATAGAAGAAAAGAATAAGAAATAGAAGACAAGAATAAGAAACAAAGGACAAGAATAAGAAACAAAAGACAAGAATAAGAAATAGAAGACAAGAATAGAAAAAAAGAAGACAAGAATGAGAAATAGAAGACAAGAATGAGAAACAAAAAACAAGAATAAGAAATAGAAGACAAGAATGGGAAATAGAAGACAAGAATGGGAAATAGAAGACAAGAATGGGAAATAGAAGACAAGAATGGGAAATAGAAGACAAGAATAAGAAATAGAAGACAAGAATGAGAAATAGAAGACAAGAATGAGAAATAGATGACAAGAATGAGAAATAGATGACAAGAATGAGAAATAGATGACAAGAATGAGAAACAAAAGACATGAATGGGAAACAAAAGACATGAATGGGAAACAAAAGACATGAATGGGAAACAAAAGACATGAATGGGAAACAAAAGACAAGAATAAGAAATAGAAGACAAGAATAAGAAATAGAAGACAAGAATAAGAAACAAAAGACAAGAATAAAAAATAGAAGACAAGAATAAAAAATAGAAGACAAGAATGGGAAATAGAAGACAAGAATGGGAAATAGAAGACAAGAATAAGGAAACAAGAAATAGAAAAAGAAGAAGAAGACAAGAATAAGAAAAGGAAGAAAAGAATAAGAAATAGAAGAAAAGAATAAAAACAGAAGAAAAGAATAAGAAATAGAAGACAAGAATAAGAAACAAAGGACAAGAATAAGAAACAAAAGACAAGAATAAGAAATAGAAGACAAGAATAAGAAAAAAAAAAGAAGACAAGAATGAGAAATAGAAGACAAGAATGAGAAAACAAAAGACAAGAATAAGAAATAGAAGACAAAAAAGAATGGGAACAAAAGACAAGAATGGAAATAGAAGACAAAAAGAATGGGGAAATAGAAGACAAGAATGAAAAAAAAGACAAGAATGGGAAATAAAGACAAGAAATGAGAAATAAAAGACAAGAATGAGAAATAGATGACAAGAATGAGAAATAGAAGACAAGAAATGAGAAACAAAGATAAGAATGAGAAGAAAAAGAAGGAAATGACAAGAATGAGAAAAACAAAAGACATGAATGAGAAAACAAAGACAAGAATGGAAATAAAAAGATGAAGGGGAAACAAAGATGAATAAGAAAACAAAAGACAAGAAATGAGAAACAAGACAAGAATGAGAAATAAAAGACAAGAATGAGAAACAAAAGACAAGAATAAAAAATGAAGACAAGAATAAAAAATAGAAGACAAGAATAAGAAATAGAAGAAAGAATAAGAAATAGAAGACAAATAAGAAGAAGACAAGAAATAGAAGACAGAATAAGAAGAAATAGAAGACAAGAAGAAAGAATAAGAAAAAGACAAGAATAAGAAATAGAAGACAAGAATAAGAAATGAAGAAGAAAGAATAAGAAATAGAAGAGACAAGAATAAAAGAAGACATTGGGAAATAGAAGACAAGAAATGAGAAATAGAAGACAAGAATGAGAAAGAAGAATAAGGAACAAAAAGACAAGAAATTTGAGAAACAAAAAGACAAGAAATGAGAAAATGAGAAACAAAAGACAAGAATAAGAAATAAAAGACAAGAATAAAAAAAAAGACAAGAATAAGAAATAAAAGACAAGAATAAGAAAAAGAAGACAAGAATAAGAAATAGAAGACAAGAAAAGAAACAAAAAGACAAGAATGAGAAATAGAAGACAAGAATGAGGAAATAGACAGAAAGAAAAACAAGAATGAGAAATAGAAGACAAGAATGAGAAGAAGAAGACAGAATGGGAAAAAGGTAGGAAGAAGACAAGAATTGGAAATAGAAGACAAGAATAAGAAAAGACAAGAATTGAAAAGACAAGAATTGGAAATAGAAGAAAGAATAAGAAATAGAAGACAAGAATAAGAAACAAGAAGAAATTAAGAAAGAATGGGAAATTGAAAAAGAAAATTAGACAAGAATGGGAAATTGACAAGAGAAACAAGAACAAGAAACAAAACAAGAATAAGAAATAGAAGACAAGAATGGGAAATAGAAGACAAGAATTGGAAGAAGACAGAATGGAAGAAGACAAGAATTGGAAATAGAAGACAAGAATTGGTAGTAAAGAATGGGAAATAGAAGACAAGAATGGGTAGCCAGAAGACAAGAATGGGAATTAAAGACAGAAGGGAACAGCAAGAACAAATTGAAGACAAGAATGGGAAATTGGAAGACAAGAATGAGAAACAAAAGACAAGAATAGCTGAAGACAAGAAATGAGAAACAAAAGACAGAATGAGAAACAAAAGACAAGAATTTCTCCTTGAAGCAGATTTGAGAAAAAGATTGAATGAGAAATAGAAGACAAGAAATGAGGAAACAAAAATGTAAATAAAAATCAAAACCTTTTCAGAAATGCCGAAGAAAGAACAAGGTTATTGAATAAGAAATGAAGACAAAATTGAAATGAACGACTAAGAAAACTTCAAGAATAAGAAACAAAGACGACCTGGTCAAGAATTGGTGGAAAAAAAAACAAGAATGAGAACAAGGAATGAGAAATAAACATAAGAACAGAAATAAATAAAGATATATAGAGAATAGATAAAGATATGAGAAACAAAAGACAATGAGAACAAAAATGATAAAAAAAGAATATAGAGAATGGAGACAGATATATAAAAGACAAGAATGAGAAATAAAGACAAGAGATGGAAGATAAAAAAAAAAGACAAGAATGGGGAAACAATAATAAAGAATGAGAACAAAAGAATGGAGAAAGATAGATAAAGATAAACAAAGACAAGAATGGAGAAACAAAGACAAGAATGAGAAACAAAAGACAGAATGAGAAACAAAAAAGACAAGAATGGCAAAACAAAAAGACAAGAATGAAAAAAAGAAAAGAATGAGAAACAAAAGACAAGAAGAAAAAAAAGACAAGAAATAAGAAATAGAAAAAGAATAGAAAAGAAACAAAAGAGGCAATGAAGAATAAACAAAAAAATAAGAAAAAAATAGAAGACAAGAATGAGGAATAGAAGAATGGGGAAGAAAGACAAGAAAAGAAGAAGACAAGAATAAGAAACAAAGACAAGAAGAAGAAATAAAGGACAAGAATAAGAAACAAAAGACAAAGAATAAGAAATAGAAGACAAGAAGAAGAGAATGAGAAGACAAAGAATAAGAAATAAAAGACAAGAATAAGAAATAAAGACAAAGAATAAGAAAATAAAGACAAGAATAAGAAAATAAAGAATGGAAGTAGTCAAAAACAAGGAGAAATAACAAGAATGGGAAATAAAGACAAGAATGGGGAAGGAAGACAAACAAAGGGAAAATGAGAAGATAAAGAATGAGAAACAAAAGACAGAATGGAGAAATAGAAGACAAGAATGAGAAACAAAAGACAAGAATGAGAAACAAAAGACAAGAATGAGAAACAAAAGACAAGAATGAGAAACAAAAGACAAGAATGAGAAACAAAAGACAAGAATAAGAAACAAAAGACAAGAATAAGAAACAAAAGACAAGAATGAGAAACAAAAGACAAGAATGAGAAATAGACAAGAATGAGTAACAAAAGACAAGAATAAGAAATAGAAGACAAGAATAAGAAATAGAAGACAAGAATAAGAAATAGAAGACAAGAATAAGAAATAGAAGACAAGAATAAGAAATAGAAGACAAGAATAAGAAATAGAAGACAAGAATAAGAAATAGAAGACAAGAATGGGAAATAGAAGACAAGAATAAGAAATAGAAGACAAGAATAAGAAATAGAAGACAAGAAAAGGGGAAGACAAGAATGGGAAATGGAAGAAGACAAGAATTGGAAATAGAAAGAAAGAAAGAATGAAAAGTACAAGAATGAGAAATTGAAGACAAGAATGGGAATGAAAGACAAGAAATGGAAATGGAAAAGAATGGGAAACAAAAGACAAGAATGGGAAATAAAAGACAAGAATAAGAAACAAAGACAAGAATAAGAAAAAGACAAGAGAAACAAAAGACAAGAATAGAAAAAAGAAGACAAGAATAAAGAAAAGAAAAGAAAAGAAAGAAGAAATAGAAGACAAGAATGAGAAAAAGAAGACAAGAATGAGAAATAGAAGACAAGAATGAAACAAAAACAAGAATAGAAAATAGAAGACAAGAAATGAAAATAGAAGACAAGAATGGGAAATAGAAGACAAGAATAAGAAGAAGACAAGAATAAGAAATAAAAGAATAAGAAATAGAAGAAAAGAATAAGAAAGAAGAAAAGAATAAGAAATAGAAAGAGAAAGGGATCAAGAAATAATCAAGAAAAAAGAAGGACATAGAGACAAGAATGAGAAACAAAAGACAAATGGGAAACAAACACGACATGAATGGGAAACAAAAGAAAAGAACAACGAAATTATAGAAGACAAGAATAAGAAACAAAAAGACAAGAAGAAACAGAAGACAAGAATAAGAAATAGAAAAAACAAGAAGAAGAAATAGAAGACAAGAATAAAAAAAACAAGAATTTGTTGTTTTTTTTTTTTTTAAAAATTATGAATTTCTAGCGTATTAAATCTAGAATATAAACAAATGGAGAGACAAAAATGGGAATATAAGACAGAATTTATAGATATTTAAAGAATAAGTTGAACAAAGAAATCCAAGAAATTAAGAAAAATTTGTGTGGATAAGAAGAATTGAACTCAATCGCCATAAAGAAAGACCTGAAATGAAAGAGAAGACATAGAATAAGTGACTGGTTTTAAATTTTTGAACCAAAAAAGACAAGAAGAAATGAATGGGGAAACAAAACAGAATGGGAAACAAAAGACATGAATGGGAAACAAAAGACACAATGGGGAAACAAAGACAAGAACAGAAGACAAGAATAGTAGAAGACAAGAATAAGAAACAAAAAGACAAGAAGAAACAGAAGACAAGAATAAGAAATAGAAAACAAGAAGAAGAAATAGAAGACAAGAATGAGAAACAAAGACAAGAATAAAAAATAGAAGACAAGAATAAAAATAGAAGACAAGAATGGGAAATAGAAGACAAGAATGGAAACAGAAGACAAGAATGGAAATAGAAGACAAGAATGGGAAAAGAAGACAGAATAAGTAAATAGAAGACAAGAATAAGAAACAAAGACAAGAATAAGAAATAGAAGACAGAATAGAAGTCAAAAGACAAGAAGAAATAAAAGACAAGATAGAAAGAAGACAAGAATGAAAAAGAAATAGAAGAAGACAAGAATGAGAAATGAAGACAAGAATGGGAAATAGAAGAAGAATAAGAAAATGAAGACAAGAATAAGAAGACAAGAATGGAAATAGAAGACAAGAATAAGAAATAGAAGACAAGAATAGAAATGAATGAAAGAAAGAATAAGAAATAGAAGAAAGGAATAAGAAATAGAAGAAAAGAATAAGAAATAGAAGACAAGAATAAGAAACAAAAGACAAGAATAAGAAACAAAAGACAATAATAAGAAATAGAAGACAAGAATAGAAGACAAGAATAGAAAAAAGAAGACAAGAATGAGAAATAGGAAGACAAAAATGAGAAACAAAAGACAAGAATAAGAAATAAAAGACAAGAATGGGAATAGAAGACAAGATAGGGAAATAGAAGACAAGAATGGAAATAAAGGACAAGAATAAGAATAAAAAAGACAAGAATGACAAAAGAAGACAAGAATGAAAAAAAAGAAAAGAATAAGAAAAAACAGACAAGAATAAGAAAAAAAAGAAAAAAGAGAAAAAAAAAATAGAAATGAGACAAGACAAAAATGAGAAATAAGATGTAAGAAAAAAGGACAAAAAAGAAAAGAAAAAAATAGATGACTATTTCTGAGTATCTAGTCACAAGAATGAAATAGATGACCAAGAATGAGAAATAGATGACTTGCTGATCAACAAAAATGATGGCAATGGGAAACAAAAAAGACATGAATAGGAGGTTCAGGTCATGAATGGGAAACAAAAAGACATATGAATGAAATTCCCTAGGAGCATGAATAGGGGGATTTTGCAAAAGACAAGGAAAGAAAACTAGAATAGCAGAATAAGGAATAGATGAATTTGACAAGGAACCTCAACACCCACAAAAAACCCACACAAGAATAAGAAATAGACCTTTCAAGAATAAGAAATGAACAACAAGAATAGAAATATAAAGGTGAAATTAAAACAAAAGACAAGAATTAAAATACTTTTGAGTAAAAATCTGTAGCAGAATATCCCATTTTAGCCAAGAATTCATTTGTTGTTAGTTCAACTGAATGGGTCTGCTAGAAATGAGAAGACAAGACCATGGAAATTGGGGTTACAGAATAAGAAATGAGTGCAAAAGTAAGAGCAAACAATTGAATAAAATAATTAAGACACAAGCACTAATCAACAAATATACAAGAATAATATTTCTGAAAAGACAAAGGCAAGAAATGAGAGAAAAGAATAGAAAAATGGTTCTTACAAGAATAAGAAATAAGCAAGGATAAACAACAGAAAATTAACAAGACTGTTCAACAAAAAGACCTGCCACAATGAGAAACAAAAAGACAAAAGAATTTCAAACAAAAGTGTGAATGATATATATAAATATAAGAGAATGAGGTTAGGTAAGTCAAACATGAGATACATAAGCAGTTGTATAATCTGGGAAATAGGTGAGTGGATGTAAAATAGAAGCAAGAATAATCCAAAGAGAGATTCATCTCAAAATAAGAAATAAAAGTAGGTCACTTAATAGAAGACAAAAGGAAGAAATAAAAGATGGAATGTAAGAAATAAAGACAAGAATAAGAAAATAATGGAAACAAGAATAAAGAAATGAGAAACATATTCTTGTTAAGAAATAAAAGACAAGAATAACAAATGAGGTCCCTTAATAAGAAATTTAAGACAAGAACAAGAAATAAAGACAAGAATGGCAAATGAAGTTAGACAAGAATGGGAAATAGAAGACAAGAATTTTTCCTTTGAAAATCAAGAATGGAAGGAAGACAAGAATAAGAAATAGAAGACAAGAATTGGAAATGAAGACAGGTCTTCTCCGTGAAGACAAGAATGGAAATAGAAGACAAGAATAAGAAAAGGACACACAATAGAAGACAAAATAAGTAATTGTATACAAGAATGGGAAAGAAGACAAGATATGGGAATATAGAAGACAAGAAATATATGTGTAGAAGACAGAATAAATATGTTCGTAAATTGGTTTCAAAATGAAAATTGAAGACAGAATGGGAATTCTAGACAAGAATGGGAAATTGTATCAAGACATGTATTCCCAAAATAGTAACAAGAATGGGAAATTGTTAGAAAGATTAGTACTTTTGGAAGACAGAATAAAATAGAAGACAGACGTGAGAATCAAAAGACAAGAATGAGGCAAAAAACAAGAATGAGAAACAAAAAAAAATACGATATGAAATAAAAGACAAGAATGAGAAAACAAAAGAAAAGAATAAGAAACAAAAGACAAAAATGAGAAACAAAGTTAAAGAATAAATCAACAAACAGAATCAGAAACAAAAGACAAGAAAATATAAAAACATAGAACCATCTAAGCTCCTTTTTAAGACAAGAATAATTAAATTTCAGACAAGAATAAGAAATAACACCTGTGATAATTTTAATTTCTTTTCTTTTCAAGAATGAATAGGAAAATGGAAATAGGAAAGAATGGGAAATAAAGAAAAAATGGGAAATAGAAGACAGAATGGGAAATAGAAGACAAGAATGGGAAATTTGAAAAAGAATGGGAAATTCTTTAAATGGGAATGCAGAAAGATTCTCGATTCATATTATTGGCCAAGAATGGGAAATGAAAACTTTTAATAAACAAATTAAGAATCTGTTTATGAAGACAAGAGATGGGAAATAGAAGACAAGAATGAGAAATAGAAGACAAGAATGAAATAAGAAGACAAGAATGAGAAATTTAAGACAAGAATGAGAAATTGGAAGACAAGAATAAGAAATAGAAGACAAGAATTAATCTGAAATCAAGAATGGGAAATACCTTATCAATTTTTTGAATGGGAAATGACAAGAATTATTTAATGGAAGACAAGAATGAGAAATAGAAGAAAGAATGAGAAATAGATGACAAGAATGAAAACAAAAAAGAAGACATGAATGAAACAAAAAGACATGAATTTAAAAAAAAAAACATGAATGGAAACAAAAAAGACATGAATGGGAAACAAAAGACAAGAATAAGAAATAGAAGACAAGAATGGGAAACAAGAGAAGTATTGGAAATAGAAAAAAAAATAGGAGAGAAAAAAAAACAATGTGAAAAAAGGCAAATCAGAAATGAAGAAAGTATATAAACAAAAATATTTCAATTTATTTCTAAATCAGAGTTACAAAACAATGTAAATATGATTCCAAATCTATCGTGCCATTCGTTAGTTGAGAAAAACAATTGTTTCTCTTTCATTTGCTGATAGAAGTTTGATAGGCGTATTTCATCTTACACATTGTATTTTTTGTAATAAAAAGAAAGTTTGTATAATAAAAAGTTCGCCAAAGACAACTGCTATAAATATCAATTGAATTGTATATCAAGAGTTAAGCGGGCAATAATTTTAAAAGATGTCGATACAAAGTTTCTCGTTGACAGAACATTTAGTCTGATGCCGCGTAAAACACTTCTCTTTAAGAAAAGGAAAAAAAAAAGAATGAAGAAAAAATAAAACTTGGTGATCTTTTCGCAAATGTCAGCGACGTTTCTCCTTGAGGAGCGGTTGAAACAGATTGAAGAACAAGGAAATGTAAAACGAAATCGAAAACCTTTCAGAGATGCCGGTAAAAACAAGGTTATTGATTGAAAAAAAAAAAACTTGAAGAACGCTGCCAACCTTCGATACGAAAAACATACATACCTTGGTGGAAAAAAAAAAATAAAACATGTTATATAATATTGATAGATAAAGATATAGAGAAATAGATAAACATATAGAGAGAGATAGATAGATATATAGAGATAGAATAAAAATATATTTTAATTCAGAGATAGATAGATATAGATAGATATAGAGATAGATAGATAGATATAGAGAGATATATAATATAGATATATAGAGATAGATAGATATAGATAGATATAGATATATATATAGATAGAGATAGATATATATAGAGATAGATATATAGATAGATAGATAGATAGAGATAGATATATATAGAGAGATAGATAGATAGATATAGATATGAGAGAGATAGATATATAGAGATAGATTGATATATAGATAGAGAGAGATAGAGAGATAGACTTAGATAGAGAGATATAATATATATAGATATATATGTAGATATATATAAATACCGGACCGATTTTTAATATAAATATAGAGAACGATATATATAAAT